TCTGTCAGTTGAAAAATGGCTCTAGCTCACCAACAAGCACGGGCACCCCAATTTTTTTTCCAGTCATTGTAATCAACTGATCATAAGCCTTGCGTGAGAAAAGACTGATCTAATTTCTATTGCTGAAAATTGAATAAATAAGAAAAAGCAGATACACTGTGGTCTTTTCTATTTTGCAGTCGGTAACCACGTCAAGAAATTTGGTTTAAATTTCTAATCAAGGATTTAGCTGTCTGTCTGAATCAAAGTTAAAATGTTTATTTGTGTCCGGCACAATGTATTGACTGTAGTTTAATGCGTGTTCTTATGAGTCTGGGCTCACAAAGATTTTACAATTACTGGGAATGCATTTTCATAATAAGCATTAAATAATGCCAAAATGGGGCATTTTCAATGCCTCAATGCTCCTTAATGAACATGGGCCCCCCCTTTTTTTATTTCAAAATTAAAGTTATCATATGACAAATATTCAGTGGACAAAGTTTGAACAAAAATCTTTTGTCACTTTTATTTCAGAGGAATTACCTTAAAATACCCACCCAAAAAAAAAAAACTGCATTTGTGAGATTTCCTGTCAATATCAATCTCTGAAATTGCCATAATTCCACTGTCTCTTACTCTTTCTTCATTTACTCTTTTTGTATGTATGTATTTTCCATTCCCAGGTTGAACTCCTCTTTCTTATTGCCACTTAGCCTTAAGAACATGGTGGGTGAATTGTACTTTGAAATTCAGGGTTACACCATGACTGCATAGCCTGGCTACAATTTCCACTGAAAATGTCTGTAAATGGCATTAAAAAATAGAAATATATATATATTTATATATATTTATTTATTTATTTATTTTAATGGAAAGGCAGGATATAAGACAAGACAGATGTGTTGAGGAAAAGATTTATTCTTTCTAATTAGTTTAAGGTTCTCAAAACAATATTTAATGGAGCAAGAGAGATATGAAATGCTTGAAGAAGTGGGCTTCTTGTCACAGGTACAGAATGTTTAGCTTTCTTCTGCTTCCATAGATTCCCCTCCAGGTTGTTGCTCGCCTGCATCACCTTCACCAGCCGCCTGGTATGAAACAACATCAATAATATTAATACTGCGACAAACCAGGCAGATCCGTAAACAAAAAAATTTCGAAACTAAAGCACAAGAAAGTATATTTTAATATACATTTAAAAATGTTATTGGTGACCAGCAATCCAGTCTGCTTCCTAGATTATTCTACATTCCTAAACCTTGTTTTACTAGAAGGACCAGAACACATTAA